CTTTTTCATACCATTTTTTTCGCCGTTTCCAGCCGCGCGCGCGCGAACGCCCACTTTTCCGCCCATTCAGGCACCCGACCGTCAACAAGTATTGATGGTTTGTTGATTACAAGCGAACAAGCAAGCAGCCACCTCGCTCTGTTCTTCTCCTCTTCGCCCTCCTCCACCACCACCACCACCACCAACCATTGATAGTGTGGGGTAAGAGAGGAGACAGGATGAAGCCAAGCATGCGACCGAGCTTTACGGACACGTCCCCGACAACACACCTGCTTGTGCTGTTGCGAGAGAATGTTCGTCGGTGGTCTGCCACCGTCAATGGCTTTGGCCCTGCCGCCGGCCCACTCTCGTACGAGGAAGACACATACGCAAGTTCGACGCTCTCGCAACTGCCGCACCTTGCTCTCCTCCCACGCCGCTCCCGGTCCACCTCACGACCAGAGCCTTCTTCTCCAACTCTTCCACTTGCTGACCCGCTTGCTCTCTCTCAGCCGCTCCAGCTTCCGCTCGCCCTTCCTGTCGCCTGCCCACTCCTCCCTCCTGGCCCGCACGCCTCGCCAGACCCCGCGCCGGCCGCCCATGTCGACTCCTCGCTACCCAGTCGAGACGAGGCCGAGGAGGAGGCTACTGCTGCCGCCGCTGCTGCTGCTGCTGCTGCTGCTGCTGCTGCTGCTGCCGCTGCTGCTGCCGCACACATGCATCTGTATTCTCTTGCCCACCACCCACACTTTCAGGCTCAAGCCCACGCTCAGCCTCCGGCCCACTCGTCGCCACAGCACCGCCAACAACAGCACGGACGCCAGTCGTCGGTCCCGCCACGCTCCAGGCCGTCGTGTGACGATGATCTGATCGACGAGCAGCTGACAGCGGCGCAAGAGCCATCCTCGCCACCGCCGCGCCGCCCGCCGCCGCTCGTCCCGTTTGTCCGTTCGTCGTCGGTCTCAAAGCTGGACGGTCCAAACGCCCGCAGCTTGCATCGCGCCTCGCACTCGTCGTCCAACCTGGGCGCAAGCTACCGTGCCAGCGGAGCTGCGGGGAAGCGCGGTCGCCGCGCTGCCGGGTCTCGCGAGCACAAGCGCTCGTCGTCGTCAACCGGCAACGAGTCAACACACCCTGGGACCGGCCATCCCCCCTCGTCGCCATCTCCTGTGCACAAGCGCCGGCCAAAGCGCAAGGCCCGCCGTGCCTCGGTCACCGGCCTCCCGTCCGACACTCAAGGCCCGTTTCCGGCCGCCCCGCACTCGCACCTCCGGTCACCGCCGGTCCGCAACCGGCCGAGGCGTTCCCGCGCAGGCTCGGCGCCCAAGCCCATGGACCACCGCGATCGCCGCAACGGCCGCGACCATGCCGCGCGCCCGCACTCGCGTCCGTCCAAGCCGACCAAGCCGTCTAAGCTCGGTGCGCCATGCACGCCTGCCTTTGAGCGTGGCGACCTCCCGCCACTCGGCCATCCGGTCCTCGGCCTCCTCAACGATGGCTCGTGGCACGTCGGCGAGGTCGTTCTCCACCACGACTCCAAGCGCCGCGTCCTCATCGCCTTCTCGGACGGCGAGACCCGCAAGTGGCTCCCGCTCGAACGCATCATCCTCACCCCGCCGCCCGCAGAGCAGGCTGCCTTCAAGGCTCGTTTCCTCGCAGAACGCGCTGCGGCAGAGGCCGCCGCCGTCGCCGCTGCGCCCGGCCCCGGCCTCGCTCCCGGCCCTCACGCCCGCCCGAGCCCTGCCTCACCTGCCCCCGACGGCTCGCTCCCGCACCAGCGCATCGTCTACGTTCCCTACCCAGTTCCGGTCCCGGTCCTCGTCCCTTTTCACCCCGTCCCTTCTCATCCAGCTCAGTAGCATGGCGCGGTCGTCCGGCTGCACTCTCTTGTGCGGCTTATCATGAACAGGATTGCGTCGGCATTGTGCACCCATAAAGAGCCACATGCTAAACACCTCGATGTGCGGCGGCTGATCGTCCCCGAAACAAACACAGCTTGCCCGCGTCGCAGCGGCCTTCAGCGGAGCCGCTCGCCGCCAACCTATCTGCGCGAGCTGCGGCAAGACTCGACTCGATCCGGATCACGCGACATGGACGCCGAGACCGCTGCGCTGCTTGCGGAGCAAGAGCGATTCCTCTCGTCGGGCCAAGCAAGTGCCGCAACTGTAGTGCGGGCCAATGTGGTTGAGCGGAGTGTGCCTCGGCGGGATGTGGTCCAGCTCGATGGTGCCGTGGAGGAGTGTCCGCCCGAGGAGCCTAGCAACCTCTCGAGTCGAGTGAGTGCGACTCGGACGGGCGGAGCGCCATCCTCGTCCGGCCGCCGAGCTGACGACAGGGACCAGCCTCGGAAGGAGGCTGCGGCGCACACAGAGACGAAAGATGACGAGGAGAAGATGGAAGAGGTTCCGGACGTGGTCATGGGTGTGGTTGAGCGGTTTCCAGACCAGCGGGCGTACGCTCCACCGGCTCCGTCGGGCACTCCCTTCCCGACTGTTGTCCATCGGTCGGCGAGGACTCACTCGCTCGGTCGGCAGAGCGCAAGGCGGAAGAGCGGAGACGGCGGCGGCTCGATTTTCGCTCGGCGATCGGCGTTTGCGGCCGATCATGCGGCAGGAGGGGCAAGACCGGACGCGGGTGCAGGAGGCAAGCCGAAGGCGGGCGACCGGGCAGAGAAGAAGAACCTCAAGCTGCCCAAGGCCGCCGAGTCGGTGGTCAAGGAGGCACCGCGGCAGACCCGGGCGACGCTCTCCACGAACATGATCGAAGTGGAGAAGATGCAGTGGATGACGACGCTGATCGAGGGCGCCGGCACCAACGGCGCTCGAGGCGCAAGTGCAAGCAAGCCCAAGTCGAAGATTGCTCTCCAGATCGAGGCCTTCAAGGAGCTGTTTCCTGTCTTTGACCAGCGGTTCGATCTTCAGGGCAAGCTCTGCTCCCGCGAGGACTTTGCCGACGCGGTGGAATTGCCGCGCGAGCTGATGCACCACGGCGCGGATCCGGATGCGCCCGGGTACACACTTGGTGAGCTCACGCGACTGCTGCGATCCAAAGTGCCTGCACAGGCTGCAGTTGCAGCCGACACGCTGGCAGCGATTCTGCGGCGCGCTCACGGCGGCGAGTACGCGCCGGGGCAGGGTCGGGTCATTGTCAACGCGTTTGTGGAGCTGTACGGAGTGCTTGCGGTCCGACTCGCGCTCGACTCGGAGTCGATCACGCTGCTTCTGCCTGCGCTGGACCTTGTGGCCGCGCTGCTGCCGCTGCCCGAGTGGACAGCGACCGAGGCGATTGCGCCGTCAGGCGTGCGGTCGTACGCGCTTACGCCGGGCACGTCGCTGCGGCGGGCGTCGCAGATGGACGACGCCGAGCTGGCCAAGACTGATGCGGTGCTCGCGCTTGTACGCACAGGCATTGTCCCGCGCCTGCACTACCTGTATAGTGTGTGGCGACATCCGCCGCACGCGTTGCTTGTCCGGCGGCGGGTGGTGCAAATCCTGACTCGGGTGGCGAGCCACTCGCTGCACGGAGCAGCGGCCGTGATCCAGACGCCTGGACTGATGGAGACACTTCTCAGCGACCACGTGGCGGTAGCAGCGGTTCACGATGCCGACATGACCGTCCTGACCGTCCCTGTGCTGCTGCTGGCCAAGAGGCTGGCGGCGTCGTCGGCCGAGCATGCACACCGGCTTGACGACGCGGCGCCGAGTGCGACGCTGATGGCGAGCGTGAGCCGATGGATCCTGGCGGGTCCAGTGGGTACGAGCGGCGCGTTTGAGGCCGCGCTCGCGCTGTGGCGAGTTTTTCTCGCTTACGGCGGTGCCGTGGACACGCTTGTGGCGTCGGCGCATGTTCTGCTTCCGCTGCTCGAGACTGGGACCAGCACCCAGGCTGCAGCGGTGTACGCTGTGTACACGCAGGCGGTCGATGCAGTGGCTGGCTCGGACTCTTGGTCGCTGGTGGCGCCACTGGTGGCGACAACGGTCAACGCGCTCCGGACCGCGGTGGAGGGCGGACTTGTCGACGCTGGCAACGCGGGGCGGCTGGTTCTGCTCGGAGCGCAGATGCACTTTCTGGCGGCGTACCTCCGTGCGCTACCGCTGCATCCGACGGCGTACGACCCATCGGAGGCAGTGTTGTTTGCACGGCGGACAATGTCGGAAGTTGTGGGTCTGTTGCCGCAAACCGTACTCGGTGCAGCGCCCGAGGTGCCTGCGGCGGCGCACGCGGTGCTGGCGGCAGCGGCGCCGCTGACCATCCGATCCGGCGGCGATGCGCCTGCCGTGTTTGCTGTTCCTGCAGCCACCCCTGCGCTGGAGGAGCTGCTGCCGTCTGCGCTGGCCGTCGACGGGCTGGCGTCGCTCGTCCTCGCGCTTCTCGCGCTGTATCGGCCTGTGCTCTCTGATGCCCGGCCTGGGTTCCTGGGTGCGCTCGCAGCATGGCTAGAGTGTGTGGCGCCTGCGCGGCGAGAGCAGGAGAGTCTGGCGGGCCTGCTGCGGCGGGTGGTTGCGACACATGCCGGGCTGCGGCTGGCAGCGGTGCTGGCGGCGGCACCGGATGGCGTGCTTCCACCGTCGCAGTATGCGTGTGTGCTGCGGCTGGTGGCGGATGCGGTGCCTGGCGACGAGGCGCTGTTGACGCAGGTTCTCGATGGAGTGGTGTTTGAGCCGGCTGTTGCGGCCAAGGTGGCGGAGGAGCACGGACTCGAGGGCGTGGAAGCCATCGAGTCGCTCCGTGAGTACTTGGGGTCATGGATGGGTGAGGTCGACGCGTTGGGCAAGGACAAGCTTGTGGCTGACGTGGCGCGGTCGCGGCTCCCGCTGCCGACCGAGTGGATGCTGATGCCGCTCGCCGAGGTCCACTCGCGGCTGGGCGACGACGGCGAGCTCGACGTGGTGCTTGGGGCGCGGCCGAACCTCGACGTGCGGCTCAACGCGGCGGTGGCGGAGGAGATGCTCTCGGGCGAGGCCGCGGCCGATGCCGAAGAGATGGCTGCGATGAAGGCGCATCGGCGGCAGCAGATCCACGGCGGCTTTGCGCTGATGGCGCCGCTAGTGGCGTCGACTGCGCCTGCTGTCCTACTCATTCGCGGCGTGCAAGCGGTCTCGGTCTCGTCGACCCTCTTCAGTGAGCCTGTGGTGAGCGAGGTGCTCGGGGAGATGGCGCGGCGGCTGGCGGCGAGTTCCGCCGAGAGCGGTGGGGTGTTTATGGCGAGCCTCGATGGGGTTCTTGCTGGCTCGCACGGGTACGCGCCACTGCTTGCCTCGTTTCTGGAGCACTACGGCGGAGTGGCGTACGCCGACGGGGCGGCGACGGCTCTGGTCCTCGTCCACCTCGCCCCGCGCGTTCCTGCCCCGCTGGCGGCACTGGTGTGGCGGCATCTTGCGGCGGCGCCGCCAATGGTAACGCCGGCTATGGTCGCCGAGTTCAACCTCGGGGGGGTGCTCTTCCCGGCGAATGGTGCCGAGACGCACGAGCCGATGTCTGCGGTTGTCGCCGAAGCGGTCATCAACGGGCTTGAGCTCATGGCCCGGCGCTCGCCGGTGCTCTACCACGCGGCCGCGCTGCGCCTTGGCTGGTTTGTGGCATCGGGCGACTTTGACGCCACCAACGCGCTCCACCGGCTCGGCGAGCGTGCCGACGATGTTGTCGATGCAAGCGCGGCCGAGTGTGCCGCTGCCGCCGGGTGTGGCGAATGATGTGTGCAATGAAGTGACCGATGGCCGGTAGCTGGCGGCGGGAGGCTGGCAATGGTAGCCAGCCAGAAGGGAGAGAGTCACCCGTAACTCGGCATTCCTCTCACCAGCAACAACCGACCAACATGGCTGCATCGTCCAACCAGGAGCGCTTTGGCCGCCTTGCCAACTCTTCGTCTAACGACCAGATGGAGTACGTCGGCTTAGCAAGCGCTGTGGGTGTGTTTGGGTGTGGGTGTGGGTGTGGTGGGTGTGTTTGGTTGGGTGGGTGGGGTGGGTGGGTGGGGGGGGGGGGTGTGTGTGTGTGAAACTGCGGCGGTTTTTTGTCATTTTCTTTGGAACACAGGTCGCGTGGGCGGTGGGCGGTGGGATGGGG